AATCCACTGCAAAAAGTGAATGAAAAATGTGGTAAGTGAGAAAACAATATGAGCACAAGTAATGGATCACAAAATCACTGGAAAGAGCTCACCAGAATGCAAATTCAAATTGGCGGGGTCACCAATTTTTGAGTGGAGCCTGGGATAATAGTCAGTAACCAGTGACACGAAAGAGACGTGTCCAATACGAGACAGTATAGAAGATGGAGGCGACTGAACCCAATGTATATTGTGCAGGCTACAGAAATCAGGGGCGAATCAACCAGAGCGAGAAACGCTTCGGCAAGTTACTCACCAAAACGCCTTGTGCCAAAGGATATACTGTCAGTAAAACAAGTGGAGGTAAAATTCGTAAAATCCAATGTTACAAAATACTGAAAGATTGTGTTTACCGGTAAACTACATAAGCATCACTAATGCAACATCTGCCTTAGCATGAGATCTTTATATATAATATATATATATATATATATATATATATCATATGTACAAATACATATATGTATCAGAGAGATCAATTTGTCCAGTCGTTTGGAACTCACACCACATTGTTTCCCTACAATTCCTTAGTATGGACAGCCCATTTCCCTTTGAATGTGCCAGAACCCCGGCTGCTTGTTTTACCTACCCCTTGAACATTGATAAACCATTCGACCTTGCTCCTCTAGCCCACTGTCTATGGTCACTTCAACCCACCTTACACATTTCGCTTTTACACGCTTCATCATTTGATGTGCTTGTTACCGATGTCCCATCGCAGACGTCGCAGGTATAGTCACCAAATCCTGCGCATTACGTACACTCCGCCAATCAGTTGTTCCGAACACGTCTATCTTCAAAGCCAATCGATCTTCCAAGCTATGCTATTGGTGTATTTGCCCTATCAGTCATTGACACATCAAGTGACTTTGACTGCTTGGCATATGTCCATACGTGTAGGCAATCAATTGGTGTATTGGCTTGCTTCGAAGCGGTGCTGCTCGGTTACGCCTTCGCGCACTTGTTTGCATTTTGTGCTTATCTTTGCTTGGCTATTGGATCGCTTATCCGTGGTATCTACTGAAGTTTCTATTGCTTTCTTGTATAAGGAAACCGTTTGAGCACTGTAATCGGCAAAACGCTTCGAAATCTTGAGCGTAACACACACCCGCGACTAGCCAGATGCCGGCAATAGACGCATTATCATCGCAGATAGCGTCGCTTCAGCGCCAGATCGAGGAACTCACTTTAAACCGTAAGCACCGCATGGCCCGGTCGCACAAAACCTGGTACCCCAGGTTACTGCTTTTACCACTTGCTTTTCGGTAATAAAACCCGTAAGTGCGTACATCCGTGTAGCTACTTTGCTATGGATGATCCGCCACGCCGGCCTGTAATGACCACAAACGTAGACAAAACCCAAAGCCGTCTCATCTACATTAGGGATTATGATTCCGCGACACAGTTCTTAGTTGATACTGGAGCGGAAGTCAGCGTCATTCCCCCATGCCAGCTGAGCCTATCGCATCTTTGTCGACAAGTCTACGTGCTGCCAATGGCACGCCAATAGCCACCTACAGCCATCGGTCGCTTACCCTGGACCTAGGTCTTCGGCACACTTTCCGCTGGGTATTCATCTTCGCTGCAGTCCCCTTTGCCATCAACAGCATGGACCTTCTTAGGCATTTCGACCTCTTGGTCGAAGCGAAATGCCAAATGATAGTCGACACTGCAACGAAACTCAGTGTACGTGGCATCACCGCCGATATCGCATTTGTAACACAGGTCTACACCTTCCCTCAGACCTCACCAGACTACGCCAACCTCATTTCTCAGTATTCCATGCTTGTTCAGCCAATGAACTCAGCTTTACCCGTGACACTCCAAGTCACGCACTACACACGGACGGATGGTCCACAAGCCTCATGCCGTCCAAGCCGACTATCGCCCGGGAAGCTTAAGGTAGCTATGGCGGAGTTTGAGCACATACCCGAACTAGGAATAATCTGCACTTCCGACAGCCCTTGGTCATTTCCCCTGCAGGTGGTTCCCAAGCAATCTGGTGACTGGCGTCCTTGCGGTGATTACCGCGCACTCAATCTGCTAACCGTCCTAGATAGGTATCCCATGCCACACATGCAGGACCTTACCGCATGCCTCACAGGTAAGACGATTCTCGGCAAGATCGATCTGTAGAAAAAAGGACCTTCATAAAACAGTCGTTATCACTCCTTCCGGATTGTCTGAACTTTTAAAAATGCCATTTGGTCTGTGCAACACCGCACAAACCTTCCAACGCTTCATCCACAATGTCACTCGTAGCCTAGAATTCGTTTATGCCTATCTCCATGATGTTTTAGTAGCCAGTTCATCGGAACAAGAGCACCTCGAAAAGCTTCGAACTCTGTTCTAGCGCTTGAACTAACACGGTGTCACGATGAACCCGACTAAGTGCGAACTCAGCAAATCAACGGCAGAATTCCTAGGCCACCTCGTTGCATCGCCGGGTATCGAAGTCCTTCCTTAATACATCCAGGCAATCAAGGACTTCACAGAGCTGACTTCGTTCAAGCACCTCCGTCGATTTTGTGGTTTGGGCAACTAGTATAGACGCTTCATTCCGCGTTGCGCTCAGCTCATGCAGCCTCTGGCTGACCTACTCAGAGGGCATGAACGTAAGTTCGCTTTCACTGACACATCACAGACAGCCTTCGCCGAGCTCAAGGATGCTATCTCCAACAGAGCTCTCCTCGCTCATTCCGAATCGACTGCATCTATTTCTAGTACGGCTGATGCTTCAAATGTCGCGGTAGCAGCCGTCCTCCAACAACACGTTGGTGAGCACTGGCAGCCCCTTCAATTCCTCTCCAAGCGCATGCAGCCAGCGGAATCCCGCCACAGCACGTTTGGCAGAACTGCTCGCCATTTAACTAGCCATTAGTGACTTCCGACACACACTCGAAGGCCGCACTTTCACCGTCTACATTGACCACAAGCGCCTCATTTCCGCCTTCAACTCTGCTTGCAATAAATATTCACCACGGGAAACATGACACCTTGACTTTGTCACGCAGTTCACTGCTGACATACGGCATGTCTCAGGTGGCGAAAATCCCGTCGCCTAGGCTCTCTCATGCGACAACTTCACTCTCCAGTCTTTGCCTACTGTCAACCTCGCCGCCATGGCACCGGCTCAGGCTCAAGATGAAGATATACAACGCAGTCTGCACTCCACTTCGTTGCGTATGTAACCTGTTCCTCTCCAAACCACGGAAGGAACCGTTTGCTGTGACACTTTCACAGATTTTCCTATACCTCTCGTTACCGTCTCCTACAAACGCACAGTCTTTGATGCACTGCACTCACTATCACATCCCGGTATCCGTGTATCTTTGAATCTGGTCACCGAACGTTTCAATTGGCCACGCGTAAACAATGCTGTTCGTAGCTGGGCTCGCACCTGAATTCAATGCCAGCACTCCAAAATACATCGTCACACCCGCAGTCCTCTTGGTTCATTTTCTGCCCCAGAATCTCGGTTCTCGCATGTACACTTAGACCTGGAAGGTCCCTTGCCTCTGTCACACGGATTCGTATATATTCTTACATGTGTCGACCGCTTCACCAGATGGACAGAAGCCATTCTCGTAACAAACAGCACAGCCGAGACGGTTATCTGGGCCTTCTTAGATCGGTGGGGCTCGCATTACGGATGCCCATGAACCTTCACAACTGACCGAGGAACGCCTTTCGAATCTTCACAACTCGAAACGTTCTGCTAATTTTTAGGCTGCCGCCGCATTCATACTACAGCGTATCACACAGCAGCCAACGGGTTGGTTGAACGCTTCCATAGACAGATTAAAGCCTCACTCTGCGCCTCTTCCGACCCTAGCTGGAGCGAAAACGTATCGTTCATACTCTTAGGCATTCGCAGCGGCATCACAGTTGACTTGCAATGTACCCCCAGCAGAACTAGTTTACGGCACAAAGCTAAAGTTGCCAGGAGAATTCGTTTCACATCCGGCATCATTGGGTATGTCCCCGCCTAACTTTGCGTCCTCCCTAGCTCAACGCATGCGTTCACTACACCCGGCTATGTCCCGCGAGCAGACTAGAGATGTGCAAATGCACAGCGGACTCTCTACCTGCACTCACGTCTTCCTCCGCACCGACGCAGTGCGGCTCCCTCTCCAGCCTCCCTACACAGACCCCTTCAGTGTCCTGCAATGGACTCAGAATCATTTCACTTTAGAGCAGAATGGTCACCGAACAACGGTGTCCATTAACCGCCTCAAAATGGCTTTCTTTGACGAACCACGTACAACCCATCCTGATGCTAGCACACAAGCACCCGAACCTGCGGTGACATCCCGAGCACTAGATATCCCGAAACCCTCCGTTCCGCTTGACTCTCAACCTACCCCGCATAAACCCCAGGCAAACGATCGACGAGGTAGACAGGCAAACGTCTGGTCCGTTTTTCAGAGTTTGTAACCGTTTGCTATTTCTATTAACATGCTATTTTTGTCTATAGTGGCAATTGTACGTCCCATCCACAAACGTTTGCAAAATCGACAAAAATACCCAAAACATTTTGAAAACCTAAACGGCGTATTCGCTTTTATCATCATCATCATCATCATCATCATCATCATCATCATCATCATCATCATCATCATCATCATCATCATCATCATCATCATCATCATCATCATCATCATCATCATCATCATCATCATCATCATCATCATCATCATCATCATCATCATCATCATCATCATCATCATCATCATCATCATCATCATCATCATCATCATCATCATCATCATCATCATCATCATCATCATCATCATCATCATCATCATCATCATCATCATCATCATCATCATCATCATCATCATCATCATCATCATCATCATCATCATCATCATCATCATCATCATCATCATCATCATCATCATCATCATCATCATCATCATCATCATCATCATAATCATCATCATCATTATCATCATCATCCGCATCATCATCATCATCCTCATCATCATCATCATCATCATCATCATCCTCATCATCATCATCATCATCATCATCATCATCATCCTCATCATCATCAACATCATCATCATCATCATCATCATCACCACCATCATCATCATCATCATCATCATTATACATGTCACCTAGAGGTGAGAAAACACCTCCGCTATTGTACCGCAATACATGAAACAAATACACACATACATACATATAATACAATACACAAAGGAAAAAATAGATACAACAGTTGCATGCCAGCTGAGCTACCAGCAACGGATAGGCATCGCTCCGGTATGCTACCAGCCAGCTACTAGGCAAAAAGAAAATTTTTTTATTACGTTTTACCCTAAGAAATGAGCTCGTAGATGGAGGGGAGGCTAAAAGGGATGGGGAGGGATAAAGAAACACACAGCAAGAACGCCACCGAGGTAGGCTCCATGCCATGTCAGCAAAGTGTATCCAGACAAACGTGTTCACCTTCTTTTGGACCCCAACCATGGAGCCGAGACGCTCCAACCGAGGCTAGCTCCGAAGTGAGGGACTTCATTCCCCTGGACCAAGTCATCTCTTGGCCACCTCTCCTCTTCTTCCACCCACATCCCCGGTGAGCAAACAACGCACGTCGAGGGAGTCGGTGGGCTGGCATGCGTAACACGTGACCCAGCCATCGGAGCCTGGTGCGGGAACTTACGGTGCTGAGCGGTTCAGATCCTATTCCTGGGCCATAAACAATGCATCGAACACGCTCGTTACTCACGCGGTGTTCCCACCAGATGTGAGCCAAACTGCGAAGGCACCGATGGTCGAACGTAACTAGCCTCTTCATGTCCGCCGACCTTAGGGGCCAGGTTTCGCAACCGTACAGTAAGGTCGAACGTACCGCTTCATTGTACACTCAACCCTTCAGGGCGAGAGTAATGTCGCGCCGCCACCATAGGTGGCGAAGGTTAGCAAAAGCACTTCGAGCTTTCGCTATACAGTTCCTGATCTCGTCTTCGATCCGAAGGGCGCTGATACAACTTCTCAGGTATTTGAATTTCCGAACGACTTCTAGCTGATCCCCACCAAGGGTCAGCGCAGGAGGCATTCCCTGCCAATTTTGGAGGGACGCTTTGCACTTCGATGGTGCAAAGCAAAGCCCGAAGCGGCTGACAGCCAGTGATAATATGTCCAGCGCGGCTTGGCACGTCTGGGAGCTGTCACAGATGAGGGCAACATCGTCTGCATACTCCAACTCAAGAAGTCGTTCTCCTGGGAGTAGCTCCACACCTTCCAAGTCATGTCCTGTAAATGCAAACTCCATGGCTTCGTCAATAGCGAAGTTGAAGAGGAAAGGTGACAGCGGGCATCATTGTCGCATACCGCTGGAGATATTAAAGGGTGGCGACAGCTTGCCGTAAGCCCTCATTCTGCTCGTGCTACGCGCATATAATGCTTGGATAATGTTTACATATTTCTCGGGCACACATTTCCTGAGTAGACAATTCCAAAGGGCAAATCGATCAACCGAATCAAAGGCACCTTTGAAGTCGAGGAACATGACTACGGTGGACCGCCATTATGTGTGACGGGGCCCCAACAACTGACGCAAGGTGAAGATGTGGTCGATGCCGCCACGACCACGACGAAACCCGGCTTGCTCCTCACGAATCTGGCTTTCACGAGCGCTAGTGAATCTGTGAAGAATTATGGAGGCAATTAATTTGGAGGCGATGCAGAGCAGACTGATTCCTCTATGGTTGTCGCATTTCGAGCGCGAGCCGCCTTTGAAGATGGGAACAATAACGGAGCGGCTCCAGTCGGTTGGGACAGTCTCCTGCTCCCAAAGTTTCACTAGCATTTCATGTAAAGCATCAACAAGAGCAGTGCCTCCGAATTTAAAAACGGCTGGAGGAAGATCATCTAGTCCGTCGGCTTTGTTCAATTTCAACAGTCCAATCTCACGTTCGACTTCTGCGCAAGAGCGTGGATCCAAAGGGACAGCCCACGGAGCAGGGCGATCACTGGCTGGCTAAGAATCAAACAATTCAAGCCGATTAAATTGCTTTTCAAAATGCTCAGCCCAACGCTCCAAACGTTTTGACAAATTGGAGATAGACTGTCCACTCTCGTCACGTATAGTTTCACTAACACCAGGTCTCCTGCTGCCAGTTTCCCGTATCAGACGGAATAACCTACGATGGTTGCCAAGGGCAGCGGTTACTTCCATCTCTGACGCACGATGAGACCACCGAGATTCGCGGTCTCTCTTCAGGCTAGCGCGGAGTTTTGCCCGGAGCTCTTTGCGAGTTTCATTGTGCTCGCTTCCAGCCGGGATATGCAGGCGAGCGTCGATAAGTTCCAGAGACCGAGAAGTGACCCAATGTCCATGTTGGCTATTAGACATACCACATGAGGATTTGCCCGCTGCTAGTAAGGTCTGGCGAACATGTGACCAGTGACCATCAATTGCCTCCAGTGAGCGATTACTCAACTCGCATGTCAGCGTACTTCGATACTCATTCAGAACAGCTGGCTTTGTCAGTTGGCTGGTGTCAATGCGCTCACAGCGTCGTCGTGGGCGTCCGCCAAAGCGCATCCGTATGTCAGCACATACAAGTGCATGATCGGTGTCCACACATGTGCTTTAAATCGAGCGACAATTCTGGATGCAGCCTCTCCAACGGTAACTGATAGCAATGTGATCGATCTGCGTCCAAGGCTGGTTCGAGGCTAGTGGGCGCCAAGTCACCCTCCGGCGGGTGCTGTGTCGGAAATTAGTGCTCGCAAGAAATAAGCGAGCATCTTCACACAAATGAAGTAACTGCTCACCGTTATCATGCATGCCATGTATCCTCTCTGGCGTCATGCCATTTTCACTGACCCTTGCCCACCCCCTCTGAGTTCTACCTTCCAGAAACTCAGCCGCCGGCATTGCCAAGGCAACACTCGAGTGACTGGCCAACTAGCTCAACGCAACCCCTGAGTGATTCGCCAGCCGACCCAAGTCCCCCTCCCTGACCCAAAGAACAGTCAGTCGCCCTCGGCCGCAGACACCCATTAGCGGCTTGGACCCAAACGCCTAGCTATGCGTTGCCTACGATGACGCCGGATTTCTTCGTGGTACGAAGACTTCCGGATTTCTTCGTGGAACAAGGACCGTGGACTGGAGTGCGGTGGGGGAGTGACAACTCCCAAGCACACCGTCGGGTCTGCAGCAAAGGGAAGGAACTGTCGGCATTTTTCTGAACTAGCCAGTTTATTTTGCAGTCCGCTCAGCCCGTCCTGACGGCCCACCGCTGATGCACTCTGGTCCACACGATTATCATAACTAGTAACTAGCAAAAGCCTGGACCTAGCGAGCTCTGCTACACACCCTATCTTGGAAGCCCTTGTTCAAGCTCATGCAACTATTCGTACCCATCCTCACCTCCCGTTTTCCCCCTCTAACAGGTCCATTGAAGGCTTCCATCCTTCAGCCTTTTAGGGGAGGCCCTTGCACTGTACCGTAAACACCCTCGTTCAGTATTTTGTAACATTGGATTTTATTGTTGTTTTAACCTTCAAAACGTCCATTTGTTTTACTGACGGCACATCCGTTGACATAAGCCGTTTTGGTGAGTACATTGCTGCACTGTTTCTCGCTCAGGTTGATTCGCCCCTGATTTCTGTAGCCTGCACAATATGCGATGGGTTCAGTCGCCTCCATCTTCTATACTGTCTCGTATTGGACACGTCTCTTTCGTGTCACTGGTTACTGACTAGTATCCCAGGCTCCACCCAACACTTCACCGCGGTTGGGCTAAACCAACTTACACTCAAACTAGGACTATTTAAGCTGAATAAATTTCCTTCTGCTTTATTTGGTTTGTTCAGCATACCTGAATAATCTTCCATTAATTTGCACGTGGTGCCTAAGCTAATTG